TTCGTTGCGTGTTGGTGTGTCCTTGAAATATTAATGTATAATTTGCGGCATCAAGTGCTTTCAATTGCTGGCCCTCCAGGATATTTTCAGTGTCATGTGTTTATCAAAACCTTAGGCATAAGATATTTCTGGAAAGCATTTACTGAAATACTGAGTGTCTGGGCGTTCTGCTTTGTGTAGGTGGTCGTTTGCGTCACATTCGAAGCTCTACTTGAACATAAAATCCAATCGTTGAAAAAATAAACGGCCTCAACAAAAGTCAGGAAAAAAATTAAAATTATTTTTTCCCCTTTTATTAGCCACCCATGTAAAACAAGGCAGGTATATTGCGCAGAATATTCAATATATTCTGCTCTTACGTTTCTAAGCTACGTATAAAAAAAACCTAGACAGTTTAAACATTTTAAATAGACATTAAATAGTCGCTGGTTTGGCGGTTTCTCATAATTTGTTCACGAACAATAGCGGCAAGAAATCACTCAGACGTAGATGTCTGACATTAAAAAAAATGACAAAACGTCTGGCTTTCTATAAATAAACCGTTTGATAGCAACTACGTTCTTATCGTTTACTCGAAAACAAATTAAATGTTTGACTTTTAGGTAAAACTTGAAGTTAAAATACCATCCCGAAAACTGAAACGGGCAAAACTAAAGCTAGACCAGTATTAACATAAAAAATGGCTAGAATGTAAGGCAACGTAAATTTCTGCCAAAATGTCATGAAAATTCACCGATAGCTGGCGGAATTCATTCGTCCTCCCCTGCTTTGGGGCCCACTATCGATCCCTGCCAGCAGCCGTGCAGCCCCAGTTAACCCTTGCCGGCAAAGACAAGGGAGACTAGAATGACAATTTCTATATCATTGGCCGTCATCAGCTAGTCCTGCTCAACCGCAAATGCTGCCTCACCCGATTTAAGTCAGCACGTCAATGAGCCCGTAGCTCAGTGGTTAGATCGTTGGACTTTTTTATCAACAGGTCGCGGGTTCGAGCTCTGGGGTTTGGGTACGACTGGCTGATGACGATAGCGGAGCAAGAAATGGCCATTTTTGTTTCGAACAAGGCAAAGATCACTAGATTAGCAGAATTTAATGGCGTCATAAAATTTCGTGAACTCTCATTCAGCTGCAGACGCTCGTTGCCTATTAATGAGAGAAATAACTGTCAAATTAAGTATCAGCCTCGAAGGATGAAACTTGATAGGTAAAGGGGGTAGAAACAATTAGTAATAGATGTGGGCGTATGGTGAGTGGTAGAGGAGGGGGGAGGTAATTGCCGCAGCATGACAGTTCATGTTAGTGCACGTTCATGAAAGCCGATAGGACGTGGTTAAAAGGGGGAGGTTGGGGTAGGGGACAGGGTAGCTAATCTAATGCTAATCTAGTGATCTTTGCCTTGTTCAAATTTATTTCGGGAAAACAATGCTTCATTTCTGTTTCGTTTGTCTTTGCCGGCACTGTTCACCCGTCTAAGCATTTCACCGATAAAATAAATTAAACACGTTCTGTATACAAAAAGGACGTTTTTGGAAAGGGCTAAACGAGTAAGTAAAATTGACAACTTTTATGAGTTAGATAGCATATTGTAGGTGTGTCTAGGTAAAGCGAAAATAATCTTGACCTCAAATATGTCCCAAGGAAAATTGAATGTAAGGAAATCTAAATACCCCACACTTTTGACTAAAAGCACTGTAAAACTAGTACGCCTGAGCGCTACTCATATTTTTCTTAAAACCAATTTTTCTTCCACTGGCAGATGTTTGATCCCAAAGATGGCCGCATTTCGACCGATCTTCGAACTTTGGTTCAGCGTATCCTGAATGCAAGTGTGGTTTCTGCTGTTCCTGGTATCACAAAGGCGTTTGTTGATAAAAGCGATCCCAAAAATTGGGTCTTCCGCGTTGAAGGCATCAATGTCATGGTAAGCGGAAATTGTATATTTCCGTGAAACAAAATATAACTACTCCTTGCACGGATTTCTGTTTTTTACATTTTTCACTTTCGCTCCTGTAGTAGCATTTCATTTAAAATCATGCATCCTCCAGCATCGCTCATCCAACTTAATACACACCAGTACCTTTCGGGCAGAGGTACGTAGTTGGTTTTACCTGAGAGTGGGGTAGGCTTTATTCTGAAACTATAATTAGAAAATTTTCAGTAAAACGCCCTCTATTCACCATCTGTGAAATTAGGCACTCAAACCATATAACCTCGGGACATCACAAACAATATATAATAGCTGAATACTGCAACTGCCAACATGGCGAGTCGTCCTGCAGCGAGTCACAAAATTAGGGCTTCCTTCAAAACCGCGCTAACGTCGTGCGCTTCTGACTTCATTGTTAATTTTTGGTCCAGATACTAGTATGTCTTCTTAGCAACAGGCACTCTAAGATTGGAAACGTCGGCGGCATTCCCCGACAAAGGGCACAGTGGCTAGAACCGGTTAATATGCGTTAACCCCTCCCCTTCCCACCCCCATTTCCCCAAACACGCTTAAATGATGACCTGCTTTGGTGTACCTGCCAAAGACAGTTCGCTAAGTCATGAAAGTAGGAACTCGTAATGCGAGCGACTTTGCAATAAATTCCAGGAAGACTACCTACTCCCCTGTCCTTACCACAACTCCGACCCCACCCCCATCCTGATTACCCCTGGAATTTA